GGTTTTTTCTCACATAGGTATGTTTATGTGAACCGTTGGAGCATGAAAATTTTGTTTCATATGCTTGCAACCGATTTCACTACATATGTGTCGTTGAAAAAATTACTTGGGTTTTTTCTCACATAGGTATGTTTATGTGAACCGTTGGAGCATGAAAATTTTGTTTCATATGCTTGCAACCGATTTCATTACTTATGTATCATTGACAAAACTACTGAGTTTTTTCCTACATGAGTATACTTATATCGACCGTTGAAGTATGAAGGGACATGGGTGTGGGTTAGTGTGCTGCATCAGACTCCAAACTCCAACTCCAACGGAGTTGGAGTTGGAATTATTAAGAGAATTTTTTTTTTGAGTCAATATCAGAGTTGCGTCAGTAAGACAGTCAAATATGTTTACTTTTATATAGGAAAAATTTTATTTCATAAATTAAATGCCGAGCAAATTTACTACTTTAACTTCGTAAGTTATAAGCTGTATCATCAGTAGTGTTCACCTTACCACATAGCAGGAAAAAAATTAAATAAACTAATCCAAAAAAAGGGTGTGGGTGTGTGGGTGTGGGTGTGGGTGTGGGTGTGGGTGGGTGTGGGTGGGTGTGGGTGTGGGTGTGGGTGTGGGTGTGGGTGTGGGAGTGGGTGGATGTGGGTGGGAGTGAGTGGGTGTGGCTATTGTCATCTACACTTATCCACACCCACATCTACACACCACACCCACACCCCTCACATCCAATTCTGAGATGTACAGGGCATAAATCCCAAAAACTACAAGAATCTTTTCTTTCAGAAGCTAGAAAATACATTGTTAGATCAATTAGACGCAAAATAATTCGTTGCAACTCATTTCGTTGCTGGTCTATTCAGCGCAAACAAATTCATCGCACCAAAGCAAAAGGAAAAAAATAATGAAATTGAAAAAAGTGCTTCTTTTTGCCTTCTTACTCACTGCAACACACGATTCAATCTTCTGAATAAGGAACAATCTGCGATCACAACAATAAAACGTAGAATTAAATTGAAAATGAATTGAATTTGCAGAAAAAAAAATCTATCAAATAAAATAAACCAAAAATTGTAAAACTTAAAATTCAATTCGTTGATATCGAATTTTGATATAGAATAGGTATGTCATTTATCGTTTACTTTATAATAAATATAAATTATGAGAAATTTATATTTATTATAAATGTAAATTATTTCGTTGCAAAATTTACATTTATTATAAATGTAAATTATTTTGTTGCAAAATTTACATTTACAAATAAATGTAAATACATTTATTTGTACATGTAAATTTTGCAACAAAATAATTTACTTTTATAATAAATATAAATTACTTATCATTTAATTTACGCGTAAATTAAATAAAAGTAAATTTAAATCGACACCCTATACCACAACCAAAAATCCATGGCGGTAGCATTCTAAATATTTGAACAACACTGTTGAGTGCTTTTACTAGGGGTGTCAATTTATATTTACTTTTATTTAATTTACGCGTAAATTAAATGAAAGGTAAATGTAAATTGACACCCCTAATATAGAATAATACTAAAAAGATTCTCGTAATCCGATTTTTAGCTATTGATGGTGCTCATTTTTGCATTAGTGTGTGTCTCGAAGTTTGAACTAAAAAAAAGAAAGTGTAGACCGGAAACTGTTGTCGAATAATCTACTTAAGGCTTAGCTTTATTTACATTTCAGATGTGAAAACTCTGGCTATCCCTATACCCTATTAGCTGAGATTTTAGCCTAGTAAAGAGCCCAAAACTGGTAAAACCAGTTTTTTGGTTTTGTTCAATTTCTTCCCTAGACTTATGCATTTCATATGCAATTCAATTTCAATATAATTCTATGTTTTATTATTGACATAGTCGCTTATTTATTATTCAAAAGGTTGACTTGTGAGTTGCATTGAATAAGAAGCCAAAAGAAAGCGCTTCTTTCGATGTAATTTCTTTTCTTTTAGCTTTATACAGCAAATAAACTGAGGTTGAAGCGATCGGCAACGAATCATCTGTGGAATGCATTTCTGATTTATTTTCAAAGAATCTCATCACAGTACGCTAATGTTCAAGCTCGTTTGGCGTCGTTGAGTTTGATCACAATATTTGGATGGAGAAATAAAATACTTGCGTATGTCAATTGAAAGAAACTTCCATTGAGTCTACCCTACTATTGAAAACTATTTGTGAATATCTACTCTCGATTTCAGCTTTAAATTGAAAAAAACCATAGACTGATTGGGCTCCTTACTATTCAAATATACTACCATATGATTTGAGTTATCACTTACAGGTCTCCTACAGCAAGTCACACCAGATTAAAACACCAGTGATTTGAGGTTATACGAAGCGTACGATTTTTCTTTGCGTGTTGCATACAGAAGTAAAAATATCTCAGTATTGTCAGTGAGATTTCAAGTGTAGGGAGGGGGTGAGTAACATTTTCAATTCACTCTCGCTTGCACAGTAATTCTATGCACATGAAATTCATGACTTTGTATTAGATGTAAAAGTTAAAAATATCATAATTCAATTTTTTTCATTAGGAAATTTATTTGATCAAATCTGAGTGTCTCATATCAACCAATAAGAAGCCTTTGAATAATATACACCTCCTCATTATAAAGAAACCTACAACATGTGTATTTTTCTATCAAATCTTTTTCTTCTGTCTGCAATATATAATATGACGATGCATCAGTGAAGTGAATTACAAACGCTCATTTTCTTGTCGAACACAATCGCACACTACAATCAACACTAAGTCGATAAACATAGCAAAACACAGGGTAATCATTCTTATCCAGTATTGTTAACTATACTTGCAGATCCACACATTATTCCGTGTTATCCTCCGCTATCGGTACCGCCTGTCGTTAAAGTTTCTCATCAAGTGCGTAATTCACCATTGCAACTTCTGTCTCTATTCTTACGCATCATTCAATCTAGTATCATCATTCATTGACAAAAGATATGCGATCTGGCTTTGTTATCCATGCGTCCACCCGATCACGAAAAAATAATATCCATCCGGCGAACAATCAGTCTGCCAATCCTAAAGACGTTTTGTTCCCGGTTATATTCATAAAATCTTTGATTATTCATATTTTCTCTTTGTGTAAATAGATGTCAACTATTTCGGCTGCGCGTTATCATCAAGATAAATCCCAAGTTACTGTCATTGGAGGGAAGAAGGAACGGAAGAAGGAATATGTGAGAAATGACTCTCCCCAGAATAAATCTGCCAAACAAATTGTCAATCAAAATGTTGGTAAAGCAGTATACAATCAAACACCTACCGACAATACCGCCACAATTGATCTACATTCTCCATCATCAATACAGGTGAGATACTAAAATGAGGAGCATGCTCATTATCAGATTCTATACGCCTACGTATTTATTATTGAAGATCTGGAATTTGTTTAGTTTTCATTGTATGAACAAGTTCTTATATGAAGTATACACATCTTCATCGAATTTTAGAAACGATCGAATGTTCTAGTTTCGTGCAAAATTCGATAGAGAATATTCAACAATTTTTTACCCCAATACGTATATTTGCGTGCAACTAGCATGTTTCACCACATACTTTGTTAGCTAAACTCTTAATGAAGTGGTTCTTCAGACTGAGAAAATGATCATTGTAATAAAAACCTAATGTTTTTCTATAAGTAAATAATTTTTATGCGTGCTTGCTACACTTTTTGCCTTTGATCAATTTGACAACATAATTTGAACCCATACAGCAACTAATTTTAAGAAACAGAATTTATATCTAAAAAATTTAGTGAGAAAGGATAGAATGACAACAAAACTAGAGAACTTTAGCATACTGTTGCGTAAAAACTGCATTTTGGTGTGTTTTCAAGGAAAAATCTTTGCCTTTCAGCATCGTTTCCATAAAACAAACTGGGAATATATTGGTTTACATAGCGTCTATGTCAAAAAAAAAGTATTTTACAAGGGAAGTACTAAATAAGAATTGAAAAAGCAAGAAAATACTATCATGTTACATCGTATGTCAACAACCTTTTTTTTAGTTGGTTTTCATATTGTAATTGAACTTTTCCTGATTCTGTCAAAAATACTTGCCTTAGAAAGCAAGTTAGAGATTGATCAAAAGTCAGATGATTAAATGAAGCAGTTTCAAGGGTCAAAAAAAGTGAGCTCCAAACTGCGTAAACTCCAAATTTGGAGCTCACTTCACGCCAGTCCATACTTTACCTTAGTTTGCAGTTCATGTTTTCTCTCAAGAGCTGTCTTATTGAGGTACCCATAGGTCCTCAAGAGCTACTATAGGAGGGCACCCTTAGATCCTCAACTTCTTTTGGAAGGAGTATGCTTGGCCCTTGTACACCTACCTTCGTGAGGTACTGTTGTCCCCTGAAGGTTTACAAGACGAAGATACGCAGTGATCTTGAAGTGTTACTGCAGCGGTGTATTCTTCTGTACTGGTGTGCCACTCTGGAAGGTAGAGTGGATGCGGAAAGAAGACTGAGAAGATGTGTGCTTTGACAGCCAAGTGCTTCGTCAAGACTTGTCGCTTAGGTGTAGGACCTTCTACTTACCGACGTATTGTCTGTGATATCATGGGAAGTGTTGATACGTTGTTGATGACGGAAATCTGTTGTTAGTAGTCTGCGGATGAGCACTGTCTTCCGGTTGTTTCACAATCGCTCGCCCAGGATGTGCGGATGCAGATGTGGAAGTGATAGGGGAGGTGTTATAGGGTGTGTGGCGGGAGTGTGGATTGCTTGTTACACATATGGGTAGGTTTGATGGAAGTGAATATGTCCACCCATGATCAGGCCACTCACATGCTCACTCTCCCATGCTACCAACGCTCCCCACCCACCCACATCCGACTACTCCCGTACCCGCCCACACTCATACCTGTGAGAACGTGACGACTGAATATGCTGATGTCATAAAATGTCGTGAGACACAATTTAGTTCGCAGCATAAGCTAGACGCCTTTAGCAATTGTAAACAATGCTTTACTGTGCTTTAAGCGCGTAGTGGACTACAGTAAGAAGCCGCCGTGGACCATTGGTCTAACGATATGAAAATCTAGCTGATGTCTATATCATAGGATCAAGCTCCTCCTAGAATATGAGTGATGCATTGTTTGAGCTGATGAAATGGTCAGATTCTATTTCGCCGTGTCGAACTGAGTAGGGACCCAAACATACAACCATGAATCAATAGACCATCCTCGATAACTCTTGGATCGGTCCCAACATGCCCATGTATTGTCTTTACAATAAGGGAGTAAGGGCCACATAAAGGCTGATTGGTTCATTTATCGGACCAATTAAAGAGCGAATTTCTTTTTCATGGTGTTGGGATGGGCAAGGTCACACACATATACCCATCAGTCGATAGATTACCCACGATAATCCTAGCATCAGCCCAAATATACCCATGTGTTGTCCTTTTAGTAAGAGACAAAGTCCATCCTGGAAGCACCGGGCAAATACGATCGTGTTCGGTCGTTTGGCGTCGTCGTAATGTTCGACCTGGATGACACCTCCTGTTCACATTTAGTAGCAGTTCATCATCTGACGGAATGGGATAGTCCCCAAACAGGGTGGAACGCTCATGCACAATAGTATTTAAGGATCGAAGGAATTCCTGTACAGGAGAACTTCAGGAGACACCAGTACATCTAAGATTAGAACTTGAACATCCACGAGTACCTTCCAGTAGTAAGACTTGGAGGAAAACGGTACCCCCTATAGTAGCCCTTGAGGACTTATGAGTACCTTCATAAGATAGCCCTTGAGGACCTATGAGTATCTCTATAAGATAGCTCTTGAGAACCTATGAGTACCTTCATAGGTTGGCTCCTATAAATTTATGAGTATGCATTAAGAGTTGCAGTAACTAGGCTGAATATTAATTAAGGTGAGTACTAATTAGGGTGAGTACTAATCTACAATGCAAAAGTAATTGCCGAAATCTCTAGACATGGTTCTCCGCTCTAGAACATTGTAGAAAGCGCATTCTTTTTTTAATTGAAAGAGCAAAGTCTAAGCTTCAAAGTCCATACAAAACAAAATTATTTGGAATTAACTTTGAGTGAGAAAAAAATTCCATATCAAACATAACTTAAAAAGCTCTTGCAACTTACTGTTCTATTCAAACGTACCTTGCATATCAAAGCTACTTTTCGTTATCACAGCATGGGTTTCAAATTATATAATTGCAGTAACTAGGAGTACTTTTGTCACTCTTTCAAATGGGATATAATGCATTATTTTTTGATTCACTTTTGAACTTGAATTTTACAACTTTTTATTAGTTTCAAAGAAATGGATCATTAGACAAAATCAATGATTTTCAGGTCCTGGACGAAAATCCCTCGTTTTTCTACAATACATTTTCTGAAACAGCGTACAATTTTCTACAAATTCAAATTATTTCTATTCTTTATTAGCATGTTTAGAGTTCTTAATAGTGAACTTTGCTCAATGTTCCGTCTTTCTCATGCAAAATAGTGCTTTATATCAAAACTAAGACATATAATGGGCGTTATTTCTTGTTAAAGGGTTGCTGAGAAACTTTCTGAAGTAGGGAAATCGATAGAGCTTCGTACGGACTACTTTCTCATTAATTTAATGTTCACGAAAACGTTTTGTTTCAACTTCTAATAAAACTATTAAAACAATTTTGTGTTGCTATAGTTTTTTTAGAGACGTTCGATCTGGTACTTTTTTCTCACTCAAAGTTAACTTCAAATAATTTTGTTTTGTATGCATTTTGAAGTTTAGACTTTGCTCTTTCAATCGAGAAAAGAATGATCCTTCTACAATGTTCTTGAGCCGAGAACCATGCCTGAAGATTTTGGCAATTACTTTTGCATCGTAGGTTAATTAGTGTGGGTAATACTTAATATGAGTAATAATTAATATGAATACAGTTTTAGAAATTGTTATTAATTTTAACAGCCGTATGTTGTCTTTGTGTGCATTTCGGAAAACATGGACTACATAGCTTTGGTAAAATATGGATGCGTAAGTGAGCTCCAAATTTGGAGTTTACGTATCCAGTTTATTTTTTTGACCAGTTTCGAGAATATATTTTAGAAAGATAACGAATGGTCAATAAGTATTTATTGATAAAGACTAAAGCGACTTAGGCTTGGTGGTATTTCCATTTCTGTTAGTCAAGGGTAAAATTAATTTTGTCCCAGTGGATTATATTTGCATTTGCGTTATTATTATAAATAATTTTATTTGATTCGATGATAAAACTGAAAC